AGTGGTATTTTTGTAAATAAATATCCTTAAATAATGCAAATATGCAGATAAAAAGTCGCAATTAGAACAAATGAAAATCCATTCGTGTATCAAGTTTCAATCGGCTAAATCCGTTTTAGGGCCTAAATAGTGACAATGGGCCTAAATGATGACGATAGTTATGTGGAATTTGGAATGCAATGAGAATTTTTCTTTTATAAAACACACCATTTAAGATTTGAAGAATTGTGGATTACTGTTCACAAATACAAGTTGTGGAATTGGACAATCTTTGCTGTGATATTTTTGTTATGCATGCCAAGCATTTGTCATTTCTTTACTATTAGTGTAGTATCGGCGTCCTACGCGGGAGAACATTTATATAGATCTCTTTCTTTAATACCCATATTTATTATTTTTAACTGTGGCAAATATTTTTATCAATTTATAATTTTTATTAATGTTCTAGAAAATATTTAAAATTATTTATTAACATTATACCATCAAAATATTTGAAAATTAAGGGGTATTAAACCCTAACATGGAAACCTAAACTCTCACAAATGTACGTAAACATTGAAAACAATACATCAGTCCTAAATCTTATACTCTAGCATCAAAACCTAAATTTAAAAATTTGATATTTTGAGTAACACTGTGCATCAATTTCTTTGATTAGAGATGTTAAATCTTAGAATAAAGTCTAAACTCTTACCATGCACAATTGATGGTTTACAAAAAAAATGCATGCGATAGGAAAATGATTCAATTTATTGATTCGTCATGGCCTTTCCTCCATCAGTAACAAAATATCATCCACATTATGTCATTGCATATAAAAACTTGATTGGTGAGCTTATACATAATATATATAGAGTTTTAAAAATTCATATGAAAACTTATAATTATATGAAATTTTTCGAAACACTAATATACAAATTGGTTTTCAAATNTGANAGTACTATGTAANTTCCAATATAGATCAGNCTTGGNCATTCCTTCTGAATCCGAATTGATTTCTTACACGGTTTGGATTTCTTATCGATATCTAACGTTAAAAAATATCCAAATAGTCCAGCCACTTATATTTTTTAATAATACAATAATGTTGAATAATTAGTTCCTTTTACACTTGAAACTCGACATATGTTTTATGTTATATATGATTCTTTTTTGTAGCCTCGTTTTTTGCTATGTCTTACCCGATTATCAATTTTATATCCTATGTCAATCTGTAAAACTTGATTAATTTGTTCAACTTCTACGACACTTCCGTAAGTATTTTTATCTTTGAGTAAATACACAGATTGTTGTTCCTTTTTTAGTGATAGTCAATTAAATATACATATTCAATTATTTCATTGGATTCCAATTTGTTATGATTGAAAATTAAAAGAGAATAATTTTCATGTTGCTTGGATTGATTTCTTCTTCGAGTTCATCCTCATTTCGACATTCCTTTTATATTAATAATCTTCATCTGTTTTTCCTCAACTTCTTCATCTTATCACGTCTTTCTTTTTTCACTTCCATCTTCATTTTTTTATTGTATTCTTCACTTCCTCGTCTTGGGAACCAGTTAATATAATTCGATTTAGTTTTTTTTGTGAAAATTATCGAGTTAATTGTGGGGTGCTCGTTTATTTGGTATATTTTTTTGTGTTCCTGCGACGCTTCTCCTTCTCATGATGTTCCGTATCAAATATATTTCTCGTGCTTGTCTAACCATTGCTTTGATTTCATCGATCCACCACTTTCAACTCGAAACGAATTAAAATTTTATCTTTATGTCAAAACTTGATACGTTTTAAATCATCGCCATATAAAAGAGTTTGGTATATCATATGATCTTTANATGTTCTTTNTGTCNCATATTTTATATGATCTCAAATGCATAAGACATAATTCAAAATATATATTACGAATATATTTAGTAGATCTTACAATTCAAGTTACACCGATTTACAGAAGAGTATTCTTACCTTGACTTGACAATTTGTGAGTGAAAGAAAACTCCGATTAATGAAGAATGAGAAAGAGTTAATTTGAAGCAGANCTTTCTTNCTCATTTAACACCTTTTGACAAACNATTTTGAGANCNTTCTCTTTCATATGGGGCATGAAGAGATAAAAATGTTGATCCGATGAGATGGCATTCAACGTAATTGAATCTCAAAATATTCTTCACATGAGGTAGTTCACATGAGAACATGTTTTTTAATGGCTCAAACATTACTGCACAAATATTCTTTCAAAAAAAGATTCTAATATTAACTAAATTCTTTATGTACATCAACAATTCATTGTTTTATCCACTATGTTGCTTCAAAGAAGTTAAACTACTTATTAGTTATGATACATATATACATAAATATCAAGAGAACGATATAAATGTCATAGTGACGATGAATCACATTTTAATTAAATGGCCACTTTTTATCCAAAGACAAAGACAATTGGTTTTCTAAGAATCAAAACTTTCAACCACACAACAACAATACCAAGAAACCCAAGCATACTATATAACTTTTCCGATGGATTCTTCTCCTTCTTCTTAAAAAAAAACATTAAACAAATCATGTACCTACAAAACAAAGGCTCAATATATCCAAATTCGAATCCAACAAACTAAAAAGAGAAAGCAATAAAAAAGAAAACTACGAAAAGTAACCATACTATTTTTTAAAAGATGGAGTCTTCTTTTCGAAGCAAAAATAATGAAAAAAACAGAGAAAATCATAGGAAACAAAATAGATCGATTAATAGATGTANTTTCTTGAAGAACACAACCCCCACGCATCACACAAACCAAAAGAACCTTCCTTGAAAACACTTTAAAAAATATCACAATTGATAAGATAGGGAATATCATGCATATGAACAAAAACAGCAAACGAACTACCGTATAAAGAGCAACAAACAAAAGAAGAGGTCGAGACTAATAACAAAAAGGTGATTCTTGTGTGGCAGGTGTAAGAGGTCGAGACTCAAGGTGGCATTGTTGTAAATAACCCCACCGATTCAAACAAAGGCAAACTCTTTATGTGCGTTTTTTTCGGTTATTACCCATGCATGCATCTTTCTCTATCCTTAACTGGAGCTATATATGGACCTTTGATCCACATTCTTCTAGTGATTATGCCCCCTAGATTCTCAATCGCGGCTGCAAATCTTTACGCTTTGAAAGCAACCTATAAACCAACATATTAAACCAGCATTTTCTCATCTAGCAATCAAAAAGAGAAGGTTTGTTTGAGAATTGTACCTTGCATCGAAAATGTGCATCTAGAGACTGGCTAGTATTGAATATAATCTTTTTAACATAAAAAAAAGAATTGAAATCAATTGCATTTAGCTAATATTAAAAGTCAAGAATAATAGAAAACATAAACTATAAACCACTAAACAGCAGAAAACACACATGTGTAAAGAATTTTGTACGTTTCCAAACCAGAGAAACATCCTATATGAAATCTGATTCTCAATTGTTTGTCTAGACATAATATCCGTTGATTGTATAGAGAAACAACACATACATCATATCTAAATTTTCTTGAAAGGGTCTCCAGACCAAAACTTGACCATCAAAACACACAACAGAAATCACGATGTATGACCGAAGAAAGACCAGGAGAACCCATGCAAATTTTTGAACAAAGTACCATAGCCCGCGAGACTCTCTGCCAAAAAAAACAGGGCAAAGAAATTGAAAGAAAGTGGATAGCGGGATTTGAGTTAAAAACATGTTCTTTTGAAAAAAGTTGTGATAGTGACTCCGTCGCAAAATTATACGTTACTTGAGACTCAAGTATGTAGAGAATAACACCATTCACATTGTGAAAATAGCCGCAGTGACCATGCCAACTATCGCTGTTTTTTCCAGCATTACCGGTGATACCGTCATCATGCACGAAAGTAATCGCAGCGTAACTTTACTTGTTTTTGTTTAACATCAACTAAACAAATTATTAGCTTTTTTGTATTCTTTTTTGTTTTTTTTATTCATGCTTTTTTATATTCAAAAATTTATGATTTTTCTTGATATTTTTAGCATAACATTAAATTTTTCTGTCGATAATTCTTTTTCTCCTAAGAGCTGTCCTCTCCCTCT